AGTGGGCTTCTTTGCAGGGCAGCCATGAGCTTAGCGGAGCAGTCACCTTGGCGGCAGCGAGTTTCTTAAAGCAGTCGTGGGGGCGGGGGAGTTTCACGGAGCAGTCACCGTGGGGGGAGCCTCGCAGAGCAGTGGCGGGGCTGGGGAAGTTTCATGGAGCGTCCAGCAGCAAGCTTCACGGAGCAGTTGAGGGGTGAGGGGAGCCTCGCAGAGCAGTGGAGGGGCTGTGAGTATCGCGGAGCGTCCCAGGACGGAGAGTTTCAGAGGGAGAGCTTCACCTGGCGTCGCAGGGCGGCAGAGGCCATGCAATGGAGGCCAGGCTAGGCCGAGGGACCCTAACCGTGCACGATTTCATGCACACTGGGCCTCTAGTATATGTATAAGCTAAGCTAGTGTTTAAAGATTTCAGAGAGCATGCTCCACCATAAGGACCATTTATTAAACATATCAATACGTATTTTTTATTTGCTCAGCCTAATCATAAACCTTGAATCTTGGTCTGGTGTTTCTCTATAGTCCCTGGTTTGATTAAATAAATTTTAAGATCAAATACATAAGAGTATAGTAATATTTATATCTTATGAATTTTAGGTTCAGTTAAATTCTAAAGGATATTTCAACTAGTTTTAAGTCAAAAATAGTTCAAATTTCTTTAACTTATCACAAGTGTTGAATACATAAAATCATTCCTAAAACAAATTCACACACACACACACACACACACACACACTTTGAAAACCCCATTTGGGAGTCTCAAGAATCACTCTTAATATTTATGGCAGGTAGCATTTATTAGACACATTTACCTATTTATTAGTTTGATTTTATACATTTGAACTTTTCTGACCATTGCCTATATATTTTGGATTAATCTTCATTGACATGTAAGAAACCAAAAATATAAATGACACAGACTCATTATTACTTAATTCTTTTACCAAATATTTTGTGTATGTGGCCATTCTTTATTGATTCCATTAACGCATTTCCAGACACAAATTATTTATGTTGACAAAATTTAGAGTTTTTCCTGGACATCCACCATTCCAAATAATGGCTTCCCCCACACTCCTAGCAGCCACCTCCTGTTCCCATACATAAATGGCAGCCAGCAATGGCTAGAAACAAAGGACTCTCTCCCAGTCCTGAATACAGTGACATTCATTCTGAGAGAAGCAGGGGCAGCTTTTTGAAAGCCGACTTCTTCAGCTGGACAATAACACACAATGAGTTATTGACTTGTTTATATACGGAGCTCTTTTCAGTAACTAACTCTGACTCCCACAGTCTGGACAAATGATTGATTTTGTGGTTAGAAAAAGAGAAAGCTCTTGCGCTAAAACTCTGTAGTGCAAACTACTTCTTCCCCATTTGTTCCCTAACTGAATAGAACCTTATTAAAATGCACTTTCCAAAAAAATACCTGCAGCTGGCCTTTATAAGCATGTTTTGTATATATAAATAAGTAATTTGTCCCAGTCTTTTGTATATTAACAGACCATTGGGAAACTTGTCAATATATATGAAGGCTGATTGTCTTGTTGTTTATGCTGAACTGTATTGCCTGTATTGATCTGCATGTAAACTATGGGTCAAATAATTTATTAATAAATCAATATTTACTGGTCAAAGACATAAATTTTTGATAGAGAGATTTAATTTCTTGTTGGGTTATGTTGATTTATTAAGGACTTTATACACAACATACATCATATATGTCACACTTGAGTCATTAGCTGTTCTTCTGAATACAAAGAAAACTGCATGCAGAACTACAGTTCAGAACCCTGAGTTTGGTTGGACTAATAGCTCTTCCCTCTTTAGTTAGTACTTAAATGGAATGTCAATATGAATTAGGTAAACAGAACACACCAGCTTATTTGATTACTGTACCTTTTATAAAAATACTAATGATTGGACTCTAGAGTTTTACTTTAGAGGAATTTTCTCCTATAAAATAGATTTTATCTTACTATATATCAAAGTGTTTACACAATTAGCCTTTAAACAGAATTTGTTTTTCTCTGTCTGACTTATTTTACTTAGGTAATGCCCTCAAGCTTCATCTTTATTGTATGTTTTTTAATTTGAAGTTAATTTGAGGTTTTTATTCTAGGATAGGACATTGTGGACCTTACTCATTTATAGGGTCACCAGGAATCAGAACTGACTCTATGGCACATAACACATACACCCTCTTTATACACAAAAATTAGCCTCAGAAATTACAAACCTGTGACAGAAAAAAATATCTCATGCATTTTAGATAAGAACAGCAAATCAAAAGCGTCTAGTTTTATTTTAATAAAGAAACAGGATGCCCTCTTCTAAAGTTATGGGAGAGAAGAATCCTACTATTGTTGTCATGTCCTGGGATGTGTGAGAGAGATGCTATTAGTATTGCATATTATTAATATCTTAGGGTGAAAAGGCACTCTCTGAATTTGACATTTTATTTTCAAGAATTTTCTCTAAGTGATTGTATTAAATATATCTGCCTCTCTCTCTCAATGGCTGGTCTGTTTCCGGAAAGGGCCCTGCATGTGTATCCTTATATTTTCTTGACCATTTAATTTCCAATGTCTTGCTGGATTCTCTATTTGGTACTATTGGTACTATGCATATGGTGCTTTTCAGTACTGTTGATGTTTTTCCCTCAAGCTTACATACAGTATTTCCTTGAATGTTGAGTATCGGAATAAAGGTGATTTTTCTAACCATAGCTCTTTCAAAGGTAAAGAATTCCCAACTTCAAAGAGTCCCTTGGAAGCAGTTCTAAATGCCGTGGTCCTGAGAGACTTCATTAGAATCTAACTTACAACTTGTGGTATTGAGTTTTGTGGTTATGTTTTTGTTTTGTTTTGCTTCACTTCAAAAATATCTGCTCTGAATGTTTTTGCATTTGGAAATCAATTATGTAAAGAATAGATGAGCTTGGTGAATATTTCCCCAGTCACAATCCACTGCACTTATCTACTCCTGAGATGAGAATCTCCCAATAAAGAAATAACCATGGAGACTTGACACAGTATGTTGTGCCTCAGTTTACAGATAGGATTCCATGAATGGAAGTTGAGTTTGATACTTGGTATTTTATAATATTGTGGTGTTTTTATTTTATTTTATTGCTACAGCACAGGAAAATATATTCCTCGGGGAGAATGAGCCTAAGAATAGACTCACATGATATTTTAGCCCAGTTTTATTGAGGTGTAATTGACATATGGTACTGTGTAAGTTTAAGGTATATAGCATAATGACTCTCATGTATGGTGAAATGATAACCGCAATAAGTTTAGTTAATATCCATCATCTCACATAGATACAAAGAAAACTCCAATTTTTTAACCTTGTGAGGAGAACTCTTAGGATCTCTTGAAACTTTTAAAAACACCATATAGCATTGTTAACTATAGTCATCATGTACATTACATGTTTTTTTAAAAACTTGTTTTTAGTAAGTTCTCAATCTAGGACAGAGATCAGCCTGCCTGCCACTTATTTGTTTTTTGTTTTATTGAAGCATAGCTACACTCATTCATTTATATATTGTCTATTTCATGCTATAGGCCTTAGTTGAATAATTGCAACAGACTGTATACCCACTCCCAAGCCTAAAATATTTACTATCTGGCCCTTCACACAAATGTTTGTCAACTACTTATCTAGGCTGGTCATCAGACTAAATAAAGATTCCTGGGTCTTTCCTCTCCATCAAAACAAAATCTTTGATATACTGAGCTGTATCACATATCAGTAGATGAAGAGTTCACAGGTGCACCCAGCTGTGTGGCTCAGGGGTTGAGTGTTGACCTATGAACCAGGAGGTCATGGTTTGATTCCTGGTCAGGGCACATGCCTGGGTTGTGGGTTCGATCCCCAGAGTGGGGCATGCAGGAGGCAGCCGATCAATGATTCTCTCTCATCATTGATGTTTCTATCTCTCTCTCCCTCTCTCTTCCTTTCTGAAATCAATAAAAATATATATTTTTAAAAATAGTTCACAGGTGTGATATTACTCATATAGCATATATACATAGTTAGATTGAGGAGGCCATATCGTTGGCCCTACCCCCATTTTATCCCAAGTATAAGAGTGGGCCTTCAGGCAGGGTATGGATTAAAGATTCATGGTCAGGCATACAATTGAGACCTCTTTAAAACAATAACAACATTTGCAAAACATACTGGTACAAAACAAAGCAAAGAACATGGTTATTATTCATTTTTAATCCTCAATAAGGAGAGACAACATGGAAAGTCCATTGTTTAAGAACTGTTTAAGATTCCAATTCAGAGGATTCAGTATCAGGCTATTTTCTTTCTTTCTATTAATGCCAATCTATTGAGTGAATATCATTGAGTGAGTTTAGCGTTTTTCTTTTGTTGAAAACAGTATTTTGTTTCCATGGGGACTGTTTATAAAGTAATATAGAATGGACTACATTCACTTTTTATAACAAGAGTTAGTGGCAGTAGCAGAAGACCTTTATCTGGCTTTGTGAATAGAGCAGATCAGAGGTAACTGTTCAGGTATTTCAGATACATTATCCTTTGTTGTGAAATATTATAAACCATTTTGTACCACTCTAGAGTGTTTGAATTGACATTTGCCTTTGGTTTATGTTCTTGAATTGTTATCCTGACATAACAGCAGCCAATTTATTCCCAACTGGCAATAAAATACTAAAAGAGGAACTATCAGCCTAGTTTTAAAAAGCTGCTATACTCATTTTGATAAAATGACTTTAAATAGTAGTCACCATTGTCAACTATCTGCAGTGAAGGACTCCTTCCCAAATCATATCTCAGTAAATTTAAAAGCAACGAAAGTTGAAGTGAAAAAGTCAGTGTTAAATGTTTTAAATATAAAAATAAACTTTAGACTTATTTATCTCAATGGAATTCATTTTCACATAAGCATTTGAAATTAGATTTCAAATTAGTCATTTGAATAAAGGTTGCTATTAGGTATAAACAGGTGCCTTTTTTTTTTCTAGTTGAACCTGGCTGTGGATGAACAGAAAGAGAAAATTACTGAAAAAATCATTCTTTCAATGACAGCAAAGGAACTCCATAAGGCACAGGAAGAAGTAAGGAAATTACTTTTTAAACTATATTGTAACATCGCAATGAACACTAATTTTAAAATTAAGACAAATTTTACTTGGGTCTGGTAGTGAACCAACTATATATAGTTACCTGATAACAACATAATGGGGAAAATTGATCAAAACTGGAAATCATTTTATTGATATAGGAACCTTGAAAAATAATTATATGCTTGAAATATTAAATCATATTATAATATTCTGAAAAATGTTTCTGAATAATTTCTCATAAAAATCTCCATTTAAGAAGTTATTACATGTGACTTGAATCTGAAAATTATAAAGTGTGCTAGCAGGAAAACCATTACAATTTTCTTAGACTTTAAATAAATACTAAATCTTATTTGTATTTTCTGACTTTCTAGGAATAGAATTATTGTTATGAATTTTAGAAATGCTAACGATGTTTTCTGTTATCAAGGAAAAACTGTGGTTTACCAATGTCAAGCCTAAGTGAGCTAATCATAAGATTCTGTTGTCAATATTGTAATGAAGAACCATTAAAGCAAACCTTCTTCTCTCCAGAGCTCATGCTGTGAAGCTGACAGCATCATCGTCCATAAATGAAATTTTAATACAAAAGTAGTGTTAGACAAAAGGGGAAAATGATTTTTATGTAGTTTCCTGGAATACAAAAGCATTTAATCTTTCTGAAACAAGATGATGGTTTTGCTCATTTCCATGTACCACTGTCAGTAAATAAAATCTACAAGCAACTTAAAGAATAAGATAGTGTCAATATTTAAAAATTAAACTTTCATGTAACTCGACATTTTAGCAAATAAATCTATGCAAGGTTTAGATTTTTTAGTATTTTCTTATTTTGATTATATCTCTTTTGTTATCTATGTATTTTACAATAGATGAGCAGGTACAATGCATTTTCCTGAGTGAATTCAAGTCTTAATCAGAGATTACTTTAATATTTGGGAGTTATATATGCCCAGTATTAAAGACTATATTGCCAACATTGATTGGTAATCACAGTAGGAAATATCTCATAAGAAAAATTCAAGTTGAATAATTACTAAGATGTAACAAATAACAGTTGTATAGATTTAAGTTATAGTTCTCATTCCACTTAATATTAACAAGTTAAAAGAGAAGGTTTTTAATGATAAATTTTAAAATGTTGTCTTCTATTTATTTAAAAACTATAAAACTGTGATTTATTTTATCACAGTTGGAGAGTAAGTTTAAAAGGACTGTATCATGTATCTTGGTATGGTAAACTTTAGAAAATGCAAATAAATATCTTTAATTAATATAATTAAAATTATATCTATAACACAAATTATTATTAGAGATAAATAGGAAATTAAAAAATGAAAAAATTAAGTATTTCCTGCCCTTTAAATATTGTACTAGTAATTGTTTACTCTTTGATATTTTCTGCAAAATTGTAGCTTCAATGGAACTGAAAGCTTGAGGTGGCCCAGGAAAATGATCATGATACTAAATATATAATTTTGAATGCTACTTTGCTAGCAACACTGGGAATGAAAATTATTTTTTCTGGAAAATCCAACAGTTTTATGCATATTTAGTATTTCTTCTTTATTATCATCTTAATATCTGTTTAGTACCTATGTACCTGCACAGTACTTTATTTGGTTATATGTCTGCTTGATCAGCTGTGTGTGTGTGTGTGTGTGTGTGTGTGTGTGTAATATTCCATATACTATGAAAATAATTTCAACATCATTACTTTGAAAGTGATTATATTAATATTGAGTTGTAATTTCTAGTATTTTGGTTAGAAAAAGTCAGTGACATCCAGTTTTGGCCCTAATTCACATACAGAGATGTGAACTTGTGATGGTGAAGAGAAGTACAAAGTTGTGGAAAGGAGATTACTTTAATACTTATTTTTTACCATAATTTACTTTTTTATAAAATACTATATTTTTAGATATTTTAAAAACCTAAATTAAACATCATAAAACCTGAGATTTAGAATTCTGATTCCTATAGTTTTATCTTAAAATCTGGTTTGATTTCATGTAATTTTTCTACATGAAAACTTGGAAGAAGAATAATGTATTCATCATCAGACCACTTTGAGGTAATGACTTATGTTAAACTATATAAAACTTTTAAAAAATGGCCTACTGGAAAGCTGCATGTAATTCATTATTGTTGGTTTAAAAGTGTGTTATTCCAGGTTATCTGAAAAGTAAATACCTAGGTGTGAATAGATGTGTATGCATTTTATTAGAAGAAATGCCTGTGAGAGAAAATGGGGAAAGCTATGGGTGATGCTGAGAGACATATTTGAGCACCAGGGAAGAAAGAAGAAAGGAAGACTGGGTGGAAGCATCCTAGACTGTTGTGCAGTCTAAGGAAGGTTCAGCAAAACTGGTGGTGTATCCTTGAGCCAAATTGTGTAACTGAGGAGTCCTGTGACTTGGTTTTCTCAGCCATTGGTACCAACTTGGTGATGGATTTCAGAGCACAGTAGCTGGGACCCTTGGAAAATTATGCTCCTGTAGTTAGAGGTCAGTGAAACACATTCTTATTGCTTCCTCAAAAGGTATAGTTGACATCATCCTCGTTGCCATCAACATAGTCAAGTGGGTGATAAAGACATTTAAAATATTTCTACTTTTAATCACCTCTTTCCTCATGTGTAGATGGGGATGTTAGACTCTCGAATCAGCCTAAAGTCAGCACATAAGGGACCTATGGCAGGAAATAAGATCTACTTCCTAACAGTAGTCTAGGAAACTTAAAAAGTTGAGAGTAATCAAAGTGGAGGAAACAAGAGGTGGTATACATGTTAGGTTTCCTTGTAGTTACACTGCAGCTTCCAAATCAAGAGATACTGAATTTTGCTCACAGGTCCCCATATTTTCTCGTCTTCAGTCATTCAAGTCTGGATTATGTTCACTTTTTAATCTGAAAAACATTGTACTCTGGGGCCTGAAACCAAGAAGAGATTTTAGGAAGTTTAAAATACTAATTTTCATCTCCTCTTTCTGGTTCTTCTTAATTATGTTGTGAATTAGAAAGTTTCTTGGTCTTCAGTTTGAGTGCTCACCTGGCTTTGAGCCCCATCCTGGCTGTATGTTACATGCCAAGATGACATTCCTAACATAGAGGCTGCTGCCCTTAGTACTGATTTCAAGTGATAGTTCAGTGCAAAGTGCTCTCAGGTCCTCCTTACTAACATAGATGGACTCAAGGCCACATAGAATTCAGGCAGACAGCTGAACTTTGATCTCGTCACTATAAAATCCAGGAGCTTCTCCAGGAGTCATTCATTGTAGCCGGAGTACAGTATTCGGAATGTGTGGCTCAGAATGTACAACTTCAATATGTATACATTTTAGAATGATTACAAACAAAATATTATGTAATGATTCTAAATCATCTTGAGAGTTATAATTAAATTCAAGAGTTGCATGAATGTATCAGAAAACATGACCAAACTGCCCTGCATGTTATGCAAAAACCTACATGTATGTTTATAGACAGGTGTGCATTTACATTCTTTCAGAAGTTTAGTTTGTTTCCTCAGAATACTCAATTTTTTTGTTATCTTCTGCTCATTTGTCACTCTCTCAAAATCTGAACAAGTGTCACTTCCGTGCAGGATTTCCACAGAGAGTGAGGAGTAGAATGTGTAGGCTTTCCACTGCACAATGAGATGGTGCATTTTTTCAACATATGCATACGTAAGCCTTCTCTTGTGAATGGGACTGATAGGGTCAGATAATGTTTAAAGGGAAAGGCTTTATGTCTCTCGGGCCTCTATGTTTCCACATGGATGCTCCCACACACACATAGATTGAATTATGAACAGACCCATTAATGCTGGGATCACAAAAGGTCAAGTTTTGTCTTCTTTTACTCCTATTCACATTGCCTTTGTAGAGAGGGGGAAAAAAGGATTTGCAGAAAAAAAAGATCATGATGAAGAATTTAAAGAACATTTTTCCCCTTTTAGTAACATCTGTGATTTGAAAAAAAATTATATTATGTAAAGTAATTCAGAAGTATTGTATAACCTACCCTATTTTGGTATATGAATTAGTTCATCTTTAGGGTTATTTTTAAGGGTAACAAGTTATCACAATAATTGAGAACAAAATATCACACTTTGAGGCTAAAAGACCTTATGAATATGTAAAGTTACAAAGTTTTAATAAAATTTGATGGAATTTCATCAAAACATCAATGGCAGAATTCTTCTTATATTTTCTAATATATTTAATAAATATATTATTTTTCTAAAACATTTAACTTGATGGTTTTTAGTCATTTGTTAAAAAAATAGGTGATAACTGGGGAAATGAAATTTAACATACATTAACAAATAATCATGATGCCAGTGAAAATAGCAAAAATTATAGACTTTGTGGAGCAGTGAAGAATTCATAGGAAATGAAACTTTTAAGGCTTTAACCAACAACAGTCATTTAGTTTAAACTGCAAATGACATCATCAGTTGTATGGTTGGTTGATTTCTGATGTCACAAGAAATCCCCTATCAGTGAAAGGCTATGGATTGTGACAGTAAAATCAGTCATGTATAAAAATGCTCTCAAATCAAAGCCAAAAATTAATTAATTTATTTATTTCTTTTCCTTCCTTCCTTCCTTCCTTCCTTCCTTCCTTCCTTCCTTCCTTCCTTCCTTCCTTCCTTCCTTTCTTTCTTTCTTTCTTTCTTTCTTTCTTTCTTTCTTTCTTTCTTTCTTTCTTTCTTCCTTTCTTTCTTTTTGTGGCTTTCTATAACACACACTGTGCTATATAAAATTAAAGAGAGCAGTATTACTGACAAGCAAAATACATTGCATACTTAGTGTACTTTAAAGACTACATGAAATTATATCTTCCTGAGCCATAAGACCCTGGAAATAAGCTCAGAGGGGATCAGTGCTTTCCAGAAATGGAAACTTTCTATTTAAGGCTTTTGATTCTTGGATTTTAATTTTGTCAGAAAACTGTAAGAGCAAGTAAGCTGGTCTGTATTGGTCTCTAGTTTGGGAATGAGAAATGCTATTACCCATCATTTTTTAAAATATATTTTTATTGATTTCAGAAAGGAAGGGAGAGGGAGAGAGAGATATAAACATCAATGTTGAGAAAGAATCATTGATCGGCTTCCTCCCGTACGCCCCACACTGGGGATTGAGGCTGTGACCCAGGCATGTGCCCTGACCGGGAATCGAATTGTAACCTCCTGGTTCTTAAGTTGATGCTCAAATGCTGAGCTATGCCAGCCAAGCCATTACCCATCATTTTTAATGATAACACTGCTGGAAGGTGGAATAGTGAAGATTAGGCTGAAAACATTGACTAATATGGGATCATTTCCATATTTTAAATGTTACAACTTTCTTAAAGGTCTAACAGTATTTTATGGAAAGCACATACATTTGTTCCAGAAAGTAAGGAAAGATCTTGAATCTTGAATACCAAGTGCAGGAACCTGAGGGAGCAACTGGAAGTTTAATATGCTATTGGAGGTAAATTAATTCAGTTGAGATGGCAAGAAGAATTAGAAAGGGAGAGACCACAGACAGGGAAACCACTCAGTAGGTGTTTTGATAATTTAAGTAAGGGGTGGTGATGAGATGATGGCTTGGACCAGAGTATTACTTAAAAGAAAGAAAATGAAGGAGAGACAATATATGTATTTAAAAGAAGGGTTGGCAAACTATAGTCCTGGGGCCAAATCCAGCCCACCACTTGTTTTTCTTAATAAAGTTTGACTGGAACAACTGTTTATATATTGTGCTGGCTTTCAAACTACAACTACAGGGTCGAATAGTTTTGATGGAGATGATATGGCCCATAAAGCTGAAGATATTTATTATGTGGTTTCTTAAAGAGAAAAAGTGTATCAATCTTTTATATAGAAGGAAGGATTGTTTAAAAGAAGTAGATGATTGAAGTCATAGGGACAAATAAGAGAGATATGGGAGACCAAAGAAAAATAGCAATAATTTTAAGTAGCTTGTTTATAATGCTTCTGAAGTTCTTGGGGAAAGTTAAATATAGTTGGAATATATAATAGAATATTATATATATAATCTCACATTACCTAGATATTGAAAGGAGGTGGAGAATCTCTATAGCAAATGGTTTTAAATTTTTATCTGCTTCATCTGAAGTAGGGGTTGGGATAGAAAGACAGTATAAGAAAAACAATAAAAAATTTAATATGCAGAAGACACTTAAACATGAAAATAATAATATAACATGTGTGCTAGTCATCTATTATAGGTTAGACATTATGGTGTTCATTCTTTTATCTTATTTAATTTTTAATATGATAAAGCCAATATTGTTCTTTATTTATGGATGAGGCATTTATTACCTGTTCAAAGTCTCTCAGTCAGTAAATTGGAGAGCCAAGATTTTAATCCAAGATTTCAGAAAGTCCATGCTCTATTCACAGTCAGTCATAATTCTAAATGGGTCTAATTTGATCACTTTGGGATAATGTGGATTTTTGCTTTTCATCTTTTTTGTCACTACCAAATATGGACCAGTATTTATGTAAGATTCTAATCTATTAGAGAGAGTATAAGTTTATAAACACAGTGAAGAGTCAAAAGGTGGTAATGACTTTTAATTTGTAAAAAATTAACTTACTATTTCTGAATCCTCAACATGTCTAATAATCCATAGGTCAAGTTCATATCTCTCTTAAATAAGGTGATTATAAATCTAGAAATTTTAAAATAAAGGGTACATGTTTCTAAGCCGTTGCTGTCTCTGGAAAAGTTCTCTGCATTATTTGGAAATTGATATGTATTTAAAATACTGTCTAGAATAGAGCATTTTCTTTAAAGTATGACTATTTTGGAAAATTGTATTTCAGAAATTTGGAAAATTATATTTTGGATATCTGGAAGGAAGATATCAGATTGATTCATTTAAAAGGCCAACAAATGTTAATGAAATTAATATTAAAAATTTAAATATCATATATATGTATGTTAAAATAAAATATTATAAAAAGGAAGTTACATCTATTAAAATTAAATGTTGTTGCCACATATATTAGGTTATTTAAAGTCTAAGGAGGTTTTATGATGTTAAGTAGTTTAAAAGTCTTTGGCAAACTTGTCAGATGTATTTTCTTTTTATACCCAGAGATATTTTTCATTTGGCAATTGTAAATGACTACCTGTTTCATATTATTGAAGTGCAAAAGTTACAAATTTTCCCATCAATAAAATTTGTTGATGAAGGAATGTATATCTCATCTAGTCTTTTTACTTGAAGATAGATCTATACTCAAATCCTTGTATTGCAGTAATTTCCCCCCCTATCAAACTAGGTACTCAAAATCTAATAGGTGTGACATCAACAATTACTTCTTGCTAACAACTCTTGTAATTTAACCCCTTCAGGTGAGCAGGCTGATTGATGAATTGCAGACAGCTATCAAAAGCAACAGAGATCATCTCTCTAAACTTGGCCCCCAATTACAGGCTGAGCAGGAGCAATTCTCCTCTTATGTCTACCAACACATTAAAAGCCTTCCAGCAAAAACTCTTATCCCAAGAGGCCTGCAGCTCAAGGTGGGTGTCATTCTATGCCTTGCATTGAGTTTAGCCAGAGACAAAACATTCTGCTGCATTTGAAGGCCCATGTAACAATGCAGCTCAGCTTGAATTTCTTTTTATGTTGTCTTTCCTCAAACTGGAGTTTGGCTTACAAGTGCTAATATTACCATTCAGGGAATGTATTTTAAAAGAAAATACCTAGAGGCCTTTGAAATGTGGATTTATAACACTTCAAGTAGTTTTCAATCCAGGAAAGTAATTTCAGTGAAGAAACTTAATCGTGAACATTTGCAAACTTCCCCAAGAAACAAATTTTTCACAGGAGTCACTATGTATTTCAGTTTTTAAAAACAACTTGTTTGGAGAAATGGGCAAGCTTTAATAATTGACAGACAGTGGTAATAGGAGTTAGAGGTGGAAGGCCAAGTGGCTGATTGATGTTCAAACTACATTTCCAAGGAAAAGAATCTGTATTGGATAAGTGTGACACATGTCTGGGTTCACTTGGTAAAATCAATACTTAAGAATATGCTGGGCAAAAAGGTGAATTGGTTATTTGTCAGAACAAGATGGCAAAATACCCTAGACTATTATATGATGTTGCATCTTCAGAAGAGAAAAAAAGTCATACCTGATTAAAGTGGTTTAGGTACTGAAAGCTTAGGGAGTTTAAGTGCTGTTATCATAATAGAGTATCCATGTTAAGTCTGTCAGATTAATATCATTTTATAATTTTACTTCCCGTATTTAAGAGACTATAATTATTTCAATTTGAATTATTCTATGTATGACCCAATTCTATCTAAGGAACCATTACTACATCTCAACTAACTCATTTCCTTCGATTATATTTATATTTGAATGTGATAACATTAAAGGTAGTTGTATTTTGATCAGCCTTTATCACTACAATTCTTCTTTCTTAACATTCAGTTTTATGCTGAAAATAACATTATATTTTTTCCCCCATAACTTGTTTTTTCTAATGTCATGCCCATTAGAATGCAATTCACCTCTCAATGGAAACCTAGTATGTCCATATCTTGGCTATCTATATAATAAAAGCCTAAGTGACCGTTATGGTGGAACGACCAGAACAACTAGTTGCTATGATGCACACTGACCACCAGGGAACAGACGTTCAATGCAGGGGCTGCCCCCTGGTGTTCAGTGTGCTCCCACAAGGGGAGTGCTGCTCAGCCAGAAGCCGGGCTCATGGCTGGCTAGAGCAGTTGCGGTGGCGGGAGCCTCTCCCACTTCTGTGGCAGCACTACGGAGCAGCGAGCCAAGTGTAAGGAGCAGCGAGCAGGTGGGTGGTAAGGAGCGAGGGGTCCTGGACATCCCCCGAGGGATCCCGGACTGTGAGAGAGTGAAGGCCAGGCTGAGGGCTCCCCCTCCCCCAGTGCATGAATTTCGTGCACTGGGCCTCTAGTTGTAAATAATGTCGGTATGAACATAGAGGTACATATATCTTTTCTAATTAGTTATTTTGTTTTCTTCAAATAAATTCCAAGAAGTGGAATACTGAGACATATAGTATTTTTAATTTTTTTGCGGAACTGCTATACTGTTTTCCAGAGTGACTGCACCATTTTACACTCCCACCAACAGTGGCTAGCAAATATTTAATGTTAGAATCTGAATTGTTCCTCTCACACATTGCCCTTTTAACATGCTTCAAAACTATCTCCATACCAACAAACACAGAGGAAGTTTATATATGCAAAGAAGCCATCTTGTATTTGTTTTTGCTTGCTGTGCTGTGTGATACAGTAGTGACTAGCCACATGTAGTTATTTAATCTTAAATTAGTAACAATTAATTAAAGTTAAAAATCCAGTGCCTCTGGTGGTTTGCCCATGACTTTTCTGCTTTTAGCACTGGAAACTCCACATCCAGGAAACCACTCAGTTCCAGACAAACTGGGATGTTGGTCACCCTAGTTTGGTCTGCGTTCTCTCTTCCTCCTCCAAGCCTGCCTCCTTCATTGTGCCTCTTTTCATACAGCCTCATTTGCTTCTCTCTTCTTTCTCTCCAGTTTTTCCCTATTAAATGTCTAATTTTTTCTCAAAGATTAAGTTCCCCTTCTTCCCATATTCCAAGAAAGCTGGACATCAGCCCCACCCTCAGGCCTTCATGCAGTGACAGGTTAGAATCATCTGGAGATCTTTTAAAACATCCGTGCCTCCACCTCCAGGGGTTTGTTAATTGATGTGGTACGCTGAGGCTGGCTTCTCCTGGCTTGAGAGTGCTGATTATAAATTTTCAGGAATTTTGTGAGCCAGTTGTTAAAAAAACTAAGTTATATAAAGTTACAATTTAAAAAGTCATATCTAAAACAAACAACAAATACTTTTCACTTACTAATAATTTTATTGTATTTTAATATTACTTAAGCTTCTTCAAGTTTTTTATACCAATGGTATCTGTTTAGTGGGAATGCTACATATTAGTGTGCTACTGCGTGCCTCTTCCAAAGGCTATGTTAAAAAAACAACTGTGGTACATTTACACCATGGAATACTATGCAGTGGTAAAAAACGAAGGATCTCTTACCTTTTGAGACAGCATGGAGGGAACTGGAGAGTATTATGCTAAGAGAAATAAGTCAGTCAGAGAAAGACAAGTATCACATGATCTCACTCATATGTTGGTGGGTGAACAAAATAAACTGATGAACAAAATAGATCCAGAGACATAGAAGCATGGAACAGACTATTGAATCTCAGAGGGAAGGGGAATGGGTGGATGCCTGGGTGGGAAGAGATCAACGGAAGAACTTGTATGCATATATGCATAACCCATTGACACAGACAATAGGGAGGTAAAGGGCTGGGGAAGGGCAGGCTAGAAGGAGTCAGTGGGGGAAAATGAGGGACGTATGTAATATTTTCAAAAATAAAGTTTTAAAATAAATTTATAAAAATTATGGCTTGTTGTAACTTGAAAGTGGCCATAGTCAGAAATCAGCACATACAGACTTGAGTTACTGTTTTGTTGACTGTCTAGACCAGGGAGTTGGCAAACCAAACCTGCATGTTTTTGTAAAGAAAGTGTTACTGGAACACAGCCATACCTATTTGTTGATGTATTGCCTATCGCTGCTTTCACGTTATAATAGCAGAGCTGAGCAGTTGAGGTGCAGAGCCTATGACTGGAAAAGCCTAAAATGTTTACTATTTGGTCCTTTACAGAAAAGTTTGCCAACCCTGGGTCTGACTAAAGTGATGGAGAAAATATTTACAATTCAGATTAAATATGAAGGTGTCCAATCTGTGACGATTACATTGTGAATAGCACAAAAAGTTGAAGTATTCTTCCAGTATATAAAAACTATGACCTGATTTAGAAAATAAAATTCTCATCATTGAAAAACAAGAGTATCTCTACATATAGCTTCCTTGTTTCACTTTTGCCTTATTAGCATGAGTGAAGATATCAATCACATTCAGGTTAGAATTGCATTGTAGAGGGAGGGTTGAGAACCACAGCAGGCTTATTAAAGTAACTTTTAGAAACATAGCCAGTAGCCCCTCAAAAATAAGTTCTCATTCCAGACAGTTAACCAGCCGTAACTTTTCTCTGTATTGTTACATCAGTAATGTGGGAAAGGCTAGCAGTAAAATCATTCATCTCAAGATTGTGGAAAGGGAAAAGCAGTATCTACAAGACGAACAATTATATATTTTTTATATTTTCTTTTCAAGATATATTTTCAGAAGGAAAAGTAGAGAGCAAAGACATAGAAAGACTTCTCTGGCTGGAATGACCAGACTTGAGTAATAATAATAAATGAAGTGACCCAGGTCTAATGCGCTTAGACCCGCAGCTAGTCTGGATCTTTTCTGATGATCATGTAACTGCCTAGACCACACTGTGTAGGCTGACTATGGGGGATGATTTAAAATTATTGCTAGCTTCAAAGATTTGAGGCAATGGACTCTGAAGGTAAAACAGGAAGGAACTTAATAAACTTATTTTCCTTTCCTATTCATTTTTATCTTAGAGCTGATAAAAATGAATTGTGATCATTATCTTTCCAACTTTCTCTATTTGTTGACTTATATCGCTCTATTGAATATCTGTATAAGCCCATGCTCAGCTTCAAGAACCAAAATAATCGATTGTACCCATCATCATTTTCTAGAGCAGTGGTTCTCAACTAGGGGCTGATGCTGGGTGTGATTCAAAATTTCCTGGGGTGCTTTTTCATATTGTATATGGTTACCTTCACTTTTTCACTGACCTCATCCTCACCATATATTTCATTGATAATTTAAAAATATAATTTAGTTAGGTGTTAATATGAGAAGGTCATCTCTTAAAAGGACACACTCTTTCTGTGTTCTATATTGCCTCAGTCCCATTTTTTGAATCACATGGCATAATATAGTTTAAATGGACATATAAGACAAAGGACCCAGAACAGCTTAAATTTGGATGTCCATCCCCACTATAGGAAAGTTCCTTGAAAGAAAGAAAGAAAGAAAGAAAGAAAGAAAGAAAGAAAGAAAGAAAGAAAGAAAGAAAGAAAGAAAGAAAGAAAGAAAGAAAAGAAAGGAAGGAAGGAAGGAAGGAAGGAAGGAAGGAAGGAAGGAAGGAAGGAAGGAAGGAAGGAAGAAAGGAAGGAAGGAAGGAAGGAAGAAAGAAAGAAAGAAAGAAAGAAAGAAAGAAAGAAAGAAAGAAAGAAAGAAAGAAAGAAAGAAAGAAAGAGAAAGAAAGAAAGAAAGAAAAAAAGAAAACACAGCATGACAACAACGTTAGATAATTTTAGGAAAAAGTTATATTACTCATAATCACATTAATTGTTATATGACTATTCTCACCCTTGCATATTATTTCCACGTTCACTCATATGTCTGTGTAATCACAAGCTCAGTGTGCACTTTTTTGTTTGGTTTTCTGGCACATTCTCTTGCATCACAGCGCTTTTAAGGTGGATGAGGTTTCTTATTATTTTTACCTTTAAAAAGGTGGTCACACTCAGTGCACACCATACTTTATGAAACCCTTCA